CTACTAGCGATGGCCTCCGAACCTGCTAGCGATGGCCTCCAACCTAAGAGCAAAGGCCTCCAACCTACTATAGCGATGGCCTCCGAACCTGCTAGCAATGGCCTCCAACCTAAGAGCAAAGGCCTCCAACCTAAGAGCGATGGCCTCCAACCTAAGAGCGATTGCCTCCATCCTGGCACTCATCATGACCCAAAGGCCCCCATCACACTTACCAAGAACTTCTTTTGAAGTAGATCTCCATGCAACACCCTCGCCACCTGTGACATCCTGACGTCCTCTTGAGGCTGCGAAGATGCTCGGGCAGAACAAGGCACGGGGAAACAAAAAAAAATGAAAAAGGAAAGAAAGAAAACGGGTACTGAGAAGCGATACAAAGGCTGCTCCTGTCAAAAGGAAAGAGTTGCACATATTGATTCCATGGGAATTGTTTCACCTTTAGTAACAAGAAGCTTCCTTGGGAATCGTTTCACCTGTAGTAACAATAAAGCTTTCTAGTTTGTCTTTGAAGTTTCTTAGTAATAAAGCTTCGGAGGTCCCTTTTGTGTATCATTTGGTCCAGGACATCCCCGCAGGGATGCACAGCGATGAGCTGGAGATCAACGACTATCCGCAGATCGCCCGGCAGAAGATCACCCATCGGGACTGAGAAAACGAGAACGGCAAAAAATGTTAGTTGTTGCCCGCTCTGCCCCCTACTACTTATTTAAGTAGGCGCCTACTTACTTACTTAAGGGCTAGGTTAGCTTCTAGGTAGGAGGCGGCATAGCTCGCGCACTAATCATTTGATTCCTAGATGTTTAGGACAACTTAACTTGTCGAGAAGGGCGAAGAATGGTGGAATGATGCGCAACTATGGGGCCCTGCCACTCAACTAGTTGAGGCAGGTGTTCTTGCAAACTTGCAAAGACTTGCAGAGTAAAAAAGAGCATGCAAGCCGCGAGACCCCTCAACTTGTGAAGCTTAATGAGACTATGCTCTCATAGCACAGGACTTCTTAAGAGCTTGACATTGGTTCGGAATAAGAGATTTGGAGGAGATCCAAAGAGGTGTGGGTTTTGTTGAGATGAGGCCCCTTCACAAGCTAGGAGGTCCCAACTGAACTTCATGTGGATGCAAAAGGATAATGCTTCGTTTTTGTCACTTGGGATACGATGTGTTCGTCCTTTTCTTTTTTTTGTTCTTTCTGTCTGTCTTTCTTTCTGTTTTTGGAGAATCCAGCAGCCCTGCTGGATTCTCCAAAAGGAGCAAGCACACAAAAATCCTTGAACACGTGAGCAGCAGACAGAGCAATCCAAGCAGTGAAAACAAAGAAACCGGTCAAAGACCATCAAGAGCGGCAAAGCAGAAAGCCACGTGCCAGATGAAAGAAAAAGGAAAGCTTCCAAAGGTCTAAAGAGAGAAAGAATGGCTCAAAGAAGGGAAGGAACCTACAAAGCGAATTCAGAAGGAGGAGGCCATCGCTATTAGGTTGGAGGCCATCCCTAGTAAGTTCCTTAGTCTTTTTTCTATATAAGGGTATTGTGAGTAGAAACGAGACGAGACAAGGCACCGCTTCGTTGCAGGAACCACTGGTGGCCATCGAAGAGATGACCGGGGCCAAGGTGCAGGCCAGGCACCGGGCACCGCCAGGTATCGAGGAACTGATACTTTTTGGCCGGGCGGCTACTATGTAGGCGGGGTAGCTAAGTAGCTTACTCAGTTCTATTCATGTGGACTTGACTTGATAGGTGACAGGGAAAGGGGAGAGGAGGGTGGGCCGGAGGAAGCTACTAAGCGAGCAAGTGGCTTCTTGGGGTTGGATGAGAAGGGCTCAGTGACTTTGTTCCTAGATGTGTGTGGAAATTTTTTGACAGTTACTTATTTTATGTAATATTGAGGATTTCAACGGCAAACGGAAAGTAAGGACCGATAAAGGGCCCCATTTAAGGATGTGGGGAGACCGGCAAAAGGGACCAGGTGCAGCTCCGCAACCGTGCTCTTGACATTCTCTCGCTGGCTTTCGTTCCCTCTATTCAGGCTTGCATGTGTTTCACCAAAATCATGGACGAGACCTTCAATGGGTTTGGAAAATGATTGCTCACTTCAGCGTACATATTATACACTACATGCATATTGACCCACCGGCTCTTCTTTCAGCACACCTATTGCGGTCGTATATTGCATGTCCCACCATGGGATTAGATTGCAAGCAATGTTCTCGCCACATCCGCATTTCCCCCTCTGCAATGTGTCATGTATCAAATCTAAGTTGTTCTAGGGAAGCCTTTGAGGGAAGCCCACTTCAGAGTGACTGCGCGACAATGACGGCAGAGAGTAGACAGAGAGTAGTGAGAGCAATGTTGGAGTCTTTTTGGCCATCGACGCTCCACAACCAGTTGCTTTATCATGTTGCACCATCGACTTGCGTTGTTCTGGGTGTTCGTTCGCCCCTTCTCAGGTTTGTTTACATTGTTTCTTTGAAGGCCCAGAGGTCTCACAATGAAGATCTCCATCGACAAAATTCTGCAACTCCAGGGTTGCATAAATTCCATTCCGGAACGGATTTTTTTCTGGCCATTAGACAGGTCCTTGTTTCTTCGGGCCTCTTTTCCTTTCTTTCGCTCTTGATTTTGATGGATTCCAACGCGGAACTGAATGGAGTTTAAGATGATCGCCTTTGCCCATGGGCACAAACCGTTTTTGCTGAGAGCTGATGGATTCTCTTCAAGACAGATGAGGGTGGATTCCCAGCTGCCTTTTCTCAATATTGAAACTTCCTTTGCACTTGGGTGTCATGTCCTCCACTCAAGGTTGTTGCGAGTTTCCTTGATTTCAAAAGGTACTTCCAACTTTGAGAGAAGAGTTTCCCTACTCTTGAGAAGAACTTTTGTGGGTGCCTGTCAATCTGGTGCACTGAAAAATAAAAGATGGTGAGTTGGGTAAAGCAGAAAGTTTCTCTTGCAAAGTGTCCGACGGAATGATGTGCTTGTGTTTGCTTGTTACAAGACGTGAAGTTCTTTGATGCATGCATTGGCTTCTGTGAAACGGGCTGTTGAGTGACCCAAAGTTGGTTGTTTCATGTGTGGCAGCAAAGATTTCATCAAGACAGAGATTATCTGCAATCCTTTATCGTAGCTGGTTGCTAGCTACGCGATACATTGATTTAAGTTCAACGGCGCAAGGTTCTACAGTTCTACATTGATGTTTTTTGAGTCTTCAGTTGCTTGCATGTGTCTTTGGCGTGCGAGTCTGCCTCAAAGAGCAGATTTGTTTGAGAAGCATGTCAAAGAGCATTGGCATTGTCATGAAGACCGTTTTTTGGGAAGCTGAGTTGGAGTCGGTGACGTGTCTAAGATGGTGAACCCATTGGACTCGCAGCGTCAGTTAGCTTGCAACATCGTAAGAAAGCCTCCAACCCAATAGAGACATGCAACATCGTAAGAAGCATGGATTACCACACCTCACTTCATCGAATCACAAGTCGACACGTTACGACTTCACATTCGTCACCAAAATCACCCGAATTCCGTTGGATCGATGGACACGAACATCGCCATCCGGTCGTACCAAAACAAGCAAAGAAGTGCAAACTGTTGAGTCGAAACAATTTCACCGAAACTCACAAGTAGCATGTTCTCACGGTCTTTGTCCAGGAAGCACACCTTGTCAAACGACATGACGTTCCACTACAACTTGTCTTCCCATAATTGAAATCTGAAGATGCTTGCTGCTTGACATGTGAACCTCCACCTACTATCACCTACCGATTACCTGTGTCGGCCTTTGTTCTGTTGTCGCTCGTGTTCCATTTTACTCAAACAGGTTCGATAGATTAGGGGTACCAGAGGTCGTGGGCGAGTCGATCCACCAGGGATCCGAAGCAAGTCCGGTGCTTGAGGTTTCGTGAACCTGTTTGGTACAGCTTCAGATCCCATGTTCCCCTCAGTGGCCTCCCCAAAACCAAGGGTGGATGCACATGTGACACTATGTGACCAGGTGAAGGGTCAGCACTTTGCATCCACAGCTCGTATGCCCGAAGGCGCGACAGGAGTTCTGATAAGGTCCCACACAAGCAGGTTTCTTTTTTTGCAAGCCCACTCCCCCTCCGTACTTAATTAAGTAGGCGCCTACTTAGGTTGGATGGAGGTCATAGCTATTACATGCACCACTAATTCCGACAACAGCAGCTCTCAGAAGGCCTCTTTGCAGAAGAATGGTGCTTTACCATTTGCAGGCCTTCTTGTCTAGAACCTGAATTCAATTGCGCAAGGTTGGGAAACAGTACTGTGTTCTTCGAACTCGTCAAAATTTTGACATGGACCAAATCACTCTCACACGGCTTTGCACGGTTTTGTTTGTGCCTCACATGGGCCGCCAGCTTTCGGGTCACCTCGTAAGCTTGCACCAGGCGCCAAAAAGCTGTATGTGGAGATTCTGGGTTCGGCCGGCTTGGTTTTGGAGGGAACAGATGTGGCAGTAAAACCATTTGCTGAAAGTCCTAAAGGAAAGTCTAAAGGTCTAACGAAAAACAAAAAGGAGAGAAAAGAACCAATAGTATAAAGGTAGACGACGGATCGCCCGGGAGCATGGAAGGAAAGAGTATGTAGAAGAGGGAAATATCAAAGATCTTGCACATCAGCAAAAGTGGTTTACGTCCAGGCAGAGGAGACACTGAAGTAGAAACACATCTGCTCCTTGGAACGTACATTTCACACTGAAGTTTCCACGAACAGGGCGACCTGAGAGTAAACGACGTCACGATCATGACAAGCGACTCGTGTATTCCAAGCGAACATCGTTTGTCATGAAGGTGAAGTACACACATACTAACGTCACGATGACTCTTTTGTGGCAGCCACTTATGAGTAAGCAAAGTAGCTAAAATTTGTCAACCTCTCAAGAGAGCCGGGTGGTCGGGAGACATGACTCAGCTGCAGGGACGCCAGAGCAGCCGCGAGAGATGACTCATCCGCATACTAAAGTTGTACTACAAAGTCGCCAGTTCTCAGCTTCCAGCTCCACAGATTGCTCCGCGTACTAAAGTTGTACTAGAAAGTCGCCAGTTCTCATCTTCCAAGCTCCCCAGATACTCCGCGTACTAAAGTCGTACTAGAAAGTCGCCAGTTCTCATCTTCCAGCTCCCCAGATACTCCGCGCACTAAAGTTGTACTGCAAAGTCGACATGCACGATCTCCGCAGAGGGTTGCTCCGGACCGGGACAAATCGCACTCTCGCCTGCACTTCGCGCCCTCGACACGCACGATCTCCGCAGAGGGTTGCGCCGGACAAAACCGAATCGCACTCTCGCCTGCATTTCGCGCATCCGACACG